ATATCAAATTTGCCCTTATTTATGACATTTATATTTATTATAATTTGTCTTTTATTTAAATGCAAAAGATTAATATTCCAAATTTGATTTTGTAAACATTAAATTATTGTGGGACCTAAATCAATTATTCTCATAATTCCCTAATTTACTCATTAATATATTCTAATGAAATTTATTACATAGAAATAATTTATTTCTACTTATTTATATATATATCTATCTATCTGACTACCTTTTCAGTTATATGTAAATATAAACTATATCCGGCTATAAACTTAAGCAACATACACTTAACAATGATGATATAAACTATAGCCATTATAACATACACTTATACAAAGATATAACCTATATCTGGCTATAAAGTATATACGACTATATCCTTCTACAATTAACAAACAAAGCAAATAACCTACAAACCTTCCGGTCGACGACTAGACAATGGCCGGGATAAACGGAGGGCTGGAATGATCGATGGGCGGCCGGCGACAAAAAAGAAATCTCGGGATAAACGGACGGAAACAATGGACGAGCGGAGAGACGAAGGAGAACCTAGACGGATTGTTTCAGCGACGAAGATGAACGGAGACGGCGGCCGGAGACGAAGGAACGCAGACGGCAACCATAGACGAAGGAATGGACAGAAACAGAACGATAGAAGAAGAAGAAAAGTCGGAGGAATGAAGTTTTCGAATTTTTTCAATAATGGAGGATTTTGGGGATTTGATATTTTTCACTTTTGGAAAATCTAATTGGCAGAATTTGAGGGATTTAAAATGTAACAACCCAAGTAGCCAATTTTGTATTTTTAAAATTAATTAATATTAAGGTGGGATACAAAAGGATATATTAGTAAATTGGGTGATGAGTAGCATACTGAGGTTGTTTTTTTGTAAATTTTATACCATTCAATCTTTTTTATGTAATTATAGTTTCTAAATAGACTATCAATTTACTAATCCCTATAATTAAATTAAATGGAAGGTTGGGTCTGATTTCATCAAGCCCGTTGTACAGCCCATCTAATTAATGGCCTTCCAGTTAAGTAATGTTCATAAGACGACGTAGTTTGATGAATATCACAAATTCCCCATGTCAAAATGGTGTCTTAAAATAATAATAATTTAACTAAATATTTTGATAATTATATGTGTTAAGTTTTCGTCTTTATTATTTTAATTAATTTTGCCTGTGAATCTTTTAACAATTTCAATTTTGTTATTTGTATATTCAATTTTTTCAATCAAATTGCTCAAAAAGTTACATAGTAAAATGCAAAAACAAAAACAAGTGTAGCTCAAATATAATTAAAATAAATAAACAAATTCTAGCTCAAATACTTAAATAATTTTAGGAATCAAAAGAACATTAAAGACGGTGCAATTTAACGCATTTCAACTTTGTGATAGCTAGCTAGTTAGACCCAACACAACACACAAGATGTGCTCGATGCAAAGAGATTAAAAGGTGCAACCAACAGCTTGTCAATATGCAATACACTAACATAAACGTCGCATTCTTGCACAAGTGACACCTTTTGACATCTATCAAGCTACCTACAACTCTTAAATCGTCATAGTTGGTCACTCTACCAATCTAAATTCGTAAGTCGTATTCTATGAAAGAGTTGTTGTTATGATTAGAGTATATATATTTGGAGCGACTATAAGATAAGAGGTATTTGCTACTGAACTTAACACTCAAATTAACTCAAATATCATCAAAGAACCTTTATAATAAACATATCACATTAGTATCTGACACTTTCTTTTTTGTCTTTTAATTGTATCATTTTTATTTCACATGCTCTTCAGACATTATATCTTCAACCATATTGACATGAACTTGATCTATTCAACTATCAAACCAAAATTACACGATAAAGGTGAAGCCACGATGTTAACCATAAAAAAAAAATTAAGAGACGATTTAGATGACAGTGATAGAGAAAATACGTCAACTATTCATTTGAGTTGTCATTTTTTTGGACATAAATTAAGTGGTAGTGAAATGAAGGTAGATTTTGAGATTGGAGAAGACGACCCATGAAAAGTGAAGAACACAACAAAAATTTTATATGATAGATGGTTGAGTAGACTTGTGACTTAAACCATTAATAGCATACATTGAATAAAATTTAGAAATTAATTGTTTAAAATCTATCTCAAACATAATACCAAAAAAAAAAAGTTTAAAGTATTATTTAGTTCTTTTTAACTTTAAAGTTTATTTTATATTCCCCTTTCTATATTCAAAATCAATTTTAATATTTGAATTTAAGTAAAATATATATATTTTGATCTCTAAACTATGAAAAAGTGTTAATTTTAATCTCATAATTTTGAAAAAATAATTTGAATCATTGTTATTACTCTGCCGCATATTTTTTAAATTTAAGAATTAAAGTAGACATATTTCGAAATTTTGGGATGAAAATGGGATGCTGATAAATAAATAAAAAATTGAGACATCAAAATAAAATGTAAACCAATTAAAAAAAACAATAATAAACATTAGATACAACTTACAAAAAGAAGAAAACGATATAGAAAATATATGAAATGAAAATGAAAGGCACACTTTTTTCCTTTTTTTTTATTGATTTAGAGATATTTATTTGGACCTGTAACGTGGGAGTCAACACGTGTGAGAAAGTTCAAGAGACGTCCAAAACAGTAATTTCCAAAAGGAGCCGATACGACAGCTGGAGGAGAAGGAGTGGTGGGTCCATTTCCGCGAACTGCCAAATTCATAATTTGAAAACTAAACCCTCAGATGACGTGGCAAACCTGAGCCATGAGAATCAACCACGTGGACCCACTGGACTGGCGTAATCAGAACGGCACCGTACGTCACTCTCCGTTATTTATTTTCTGAGCCTCTTTTTATTTATTTTATTATTTTATAATCTCATGGGACTTCCATTATTTCGATTTCCTTCGCCTTCCCATTTCTTTGGCTCTCCTTTTTTCTTTATTCGTTTTGTAATTTAGTTTTAACTAATTATTAATAGATAACACTTTTTTCGCTAAAAAAAAAAAATATTTTTTAAAATAAAATATAAAATAACCGACAAATGATTGGTAAGTGAAACCTTGATTTGTTTAGTCTTCCAATTTCAATTAAGATCTCGAAAGCCATTTAAAAAAAACGAACTAAATTGTTTTATATTTAAAAGAAAAGAAATAAAGGCATATTTAAGTAACCTTATGAAAATTATTGAAATGGCATAAAATAAACATGTACTAATTTTAAGTAGAGAATAAAAATAAAAATTTTAAAAACGTAGTATAATCTAAATCAAACTCAAACTTACGTGTTAAAACAAATAAAAAAAAGTTAATACTTTCGTTATATTAAAAATTGAAAATTTTCTACATTTAGAAAAGTATATATTAAATTTATGCTATTGAGTAAAATTTCTCTTTAATATAGACTCCCAATGGGATGATAATAAATATCTATTTGAAATCATATAATCTATTAGTTGAATAATTGATGATAAAAGTAATGACCAAAATAATAAAATTTTTAAAATTTAAAAACTAAACTAGACATCCTAAGAAAATTATAACTTATGGATTAAATAAAATAAACTTATAAGCTCAGTAATAGAAACGAAACTTAAAGTATAAAGGACTCGTTTGGTAACGTTTCAGTTTCTTTATTTTTAATGAAGAAAAATGTATTGCACGGTTAAAACCTCTAAGAATTCAACTATGATAAAATAATATTTTTATTTATATTTTGGAATAAATTGGAAATGAAAAACTTGTTTTGATTGTTCCCAAAATTTCTATATAATTGTGAGAATATTCCCAAAACAAGAGAAATAAGAAACAAAGTTAGTTATAAAATGCTAAGATTTCTTAATAAAATTGGAAATGAGAAACAAGAAACGGTAACATTACCAAGCTCAAAATTGCTATCAAACAATGTCTGAGTGTTGGGGTTAAAGAAATGAAAATAAATAAATAAATCCATATAAATACATTAAAAAGTAATTATTTCCAAACATGACCTAGAATCAGAATTAAATCAACCACCAAGGTAAAAGTAGTTTATTTATTTATTGAAAACAATGTAAAAGTATTTCTAAAGTGGCATTAACAATGGGATTTGGGAATCAATTTAGTTAAAGATCTAGTTTAACAGACTGCTTTCTTTTTAACTTTATACTTTTAAAAAAACTAAATTCGTTAAGTAATAATAACCTTTGGTTCCTTTTGTTACCTGTTTAGAAATTTCATTTACCTTTTGGCACAAAAATGTTGGTAGTATTTCCTACACTTTTACGAAAAAAAAATATATTATTTAATTTAAATTATTTTGTTATTAAATTTTGAATATTGATGCTTTAAAAATTTCATAATATATCTATAATCTACTTTTGAGGCTGTATTAATATGGTCCTTAAACTTTTAATTTTTAATTTTAATATTTTTGAAGGGCTAAATGAATATAAAAATTTAGAGATCTTAAATAATAAGTTTAAACTTTCAACTTTCTAACCACGTCTAATAGGTTAGTGAAATTTTAAAATTTTTTGAAATTTTTAATTTTATGACTGATAGTATTAGAGTCAGAGAACAATCAAGATATAAAATAAAAAGTACAAGGATGTTTTTTTTAAGTACAAAAATACAAGGATGTATTAAATATAAAATTAAAGGTTGAGAGTAAATTTGGAACAAATTTACTTTACTTCCAAACTTACCCCTTGAAGTCGTTATCTCAGAGGAAAAAGACGTAACAAATTTACCATTTTACCCCAACTCGAGATTCTACTCTCTAGTCCCTTCCCCGCCACTGCTCCCGCTCGCGTCTTCCAGAACCTTCACTGTCGCCCCATCCACACCGTTGGATCACTCCCTTTGACACGTGTAGCCCATCCAACGGATCTCCGTCCTTTAGTTTCCACAACAATCTCGCTTCATCGGACGCTTATTTATACGCCACCCCACCACCGCCAAACGCCGCACACGACTGCCGCTTTCTCTCTCTCTCTCTCTTCTGAGCGTTTCATTTTCGCGATCGTGAGCACATTCTGATGGCGCCGGAACTGGTCCACGCAGCGCCGAGGGCCGCCGGAGCTCCGGTGAAGCCGGGCGGCGGGGTGCCCCGGCGGGCGTACGTGACGTTCTTGGCCGGCGACGGGGACTACGTGAAGGGCGTCGCCGGACTGGCGAAGGGGCTAAGGAAGGTGAAGTCGGCGTACCCGCTGGTGGTGGCGGTGCTGCCGGACGTTCCGGAGGACCACCGCCGGATCTTGGCGGCTCAGGGCTGCGTCGTTAAGGAGATTGAACCGGTTTATCCGCCCGAGAACCAGACCCGGTTCGCCATGGCCTATTACGTCATCAATTATTCTAAACTCCGTATCTGGGAGGTTCGTTATGGCTTCATTTCTTGCATGCCCAATTTCTTTTTTTCTCTTTTTTTATTCCCATCAATTTTCGGATTAAATTTTGGAAATTGTAATTTATTATTATTATTATTATTATTATTGACTTAATGTTTCTGCACAGTCAACAAATCAGATGAAAATAAGTATTCTTTTTTTTTTAGAAAGAAATAAGTATTCTTTTATAAACTTGGGATTGATAGCAAAATAATGAAATCAGAACTTATGGAGTAAAACAGGACAAAATTGAAAAATCTTAGAAATTTAGATCAAAATGAAATGAGATTTACACGTAATTTTTTAAATAATTAATTGAAAAATCTTAATTGCTCTTTAAACTTCTTCAAATTAAGTATAATTTAGGGAGAAAAACCCGTTAAACTAATTTGAACTTGCATTTAGGATGTGTTTCAGAGTTACGATAAAAAAAAGTGATTTTGAAAAAAGAGATAGATAATTGGTTTTCTAAAAATTAATTCATATATGATAATAAAAGGATTGATTTTGATAATGGTAAAAATTATTTTGGTGGGTGAAAATATCAAATCTGAACAGGTTTTTATTTAAATCTTACCAATTATTTTTATTACTTTATTTTTTAAAATGGTGGTTTTTGTAGACTATATAATAACGTTCTAAAATTATTTAGACTGATAAAGATGAAACTAAATCTCACCAGGATCAAATTGATAATTATATTTTTATACATAGATGAATTTTTTTAATTCAGATATAAAAAAATGAGTGTCCAACTAGCACAGAAACCAAAATAAATGAGCAATATAAACATTTTAAAAGTAGTTAATAAAACTGAAAATTATAGAGATAAAAAAAAAATAGTTTTTTAACCAAAAAAAAGATAGAAAGGGAAAAAAATTGTTGCTTGCTTCTGAAGGGGAAACCAAACTTTGCGGAAAGAAGGAAAATGACAGTTTTTTTTTTGTGTCAATTTGCTGTCGGATTCTCTAAACGTCGCCGTTTTCTGGTCATTTTGACAGTTCGTGGAGTACAGCAAAATGGTGTACTTGGACGGAGACATCCAAGTTTACGACAACATCGACGAGCTGTTCGATTTGTCGGACGGGCATTTCTACGCCGTCATGGACTGCTTCTGTGAAAAGACATGGAGCCACACTCCACAGTATCAGATTGGCTACTGCCAGCAGTGCCCCGGAAAGGTCCGGTGGCCGGTCACCATGGGCCATCCGCCACCGCTCTACTTCAACGCAGGCATGTTCGTGTTCGAGCCGAGTATTTCCACTTATCACGATCTACTGAACACCCTCAAAATTACCCCTCCCACCCCTTTCGCCGAACAAGTAATTTCATTAATTTAAATTTAAGCTTTTGAGTTTAGTGGTAGTTTAATATTTACCGATCTTACTTTCTATTATATGTAGGATTTTTTGAATATGTACTTTGAAGATATTTATAAGCCCATTCCTTTGGATTTCAATCTGGTTTTGGCTATGCTTTGGCGTCATCCTGAGAACGTCCAACTCGATCGTGTCAGAGTTGTTCACTACTGTGCTGCGGTAAGTAAAATTTAGTTCCTCAACTCTTATGTTTATGATAATCAGTTAGTGGTTAATTCATAGATTTTGGAGGTATTTTTAAATAATACTCAGACTCATAAACTTAAAAACTCATGTTTAACCAATAATTGGTTATTAATACATTTTGATTTTGATTTATTTTGACATTTAGGTCCTTGTACATTCAATTTTTGTTCATCTTGATCTTTTGATTTCATTTTTATTTCCTCTCTTTACGCTTCACTCATTTTTTTTAATGCAGTAATAAATTTGTATTAAATTATAGTTTTTTTATTAAATATAAAAATTGTGTTAAAATTTTACAAATATCAGTAAATCAGTCATTTTTAAAAGTAAAAGATAAAACAAGAGGTTCTAAGAGTAACAAACTATAATCGATATTGAAAATTTGAAAATTGACCCAAATGAATCCAAGTAAAAAGCATAGGAATCAAATTATTATTTAAACCTAAAATCTAATACATCCAATAATAAAAGTTTAAGAATCTTAAAGCTTTTATTTTTATCAGACGCACAATTATGAAACTAATCGATCAAAATTTTCTTTTTCTGGGTGAATAAAAATTAGGGATCGAAGCCATGGAGGTACACAGGGAAGGAGGAGAACATGCAAAGAGAAGATATAAAAATGCTGGTCAACAAGTGGTGGGACATCTACAATGACGATTCACTGGACTACAACCCTCCGCCGGATGGAGACGCCGTCGTCGTGCAGCCCTTCATCGCGGCTCTCTCCGAAGCCGGAGCCGTTCGGTTCATTACGGCGCCCTCCGCCGCATGACGCCGTCGACCGGTTGAAGACACACCAACTCTATTTTGATAAAACATAAACTACGAAAGTATATAATATAATTATATCATAATATCATAAAAAAAAAGTAATTAGTATTTTTTTAAATTATTGGCTTTGGTTTTCTTTGGGGCCAGATTTTATGTCTTCTATGAAGAAAAACTGTTTGCATGTATCGTATGGTTCTTCCTGGAATTTGAAAATTCGGGGAGTGGAAAAATTTTATGATGTTTTTAATATATATTTACTAATATGTGCGTGAGGTGATTCGTGTTGATGTAAGAGCTTTGATAATGTCACCCCCAGTCTTGCACCTTCTGTGACTGCGGCTGGTTTTTTTTTCTTTTCATTTTTCTAAATAATTGTCAGCTTTTTGGTTTTTAATTATTATACTACAAATTAGAAGAGCAACCCAAAAAAAAAAAAAAACAAACAACAAAAACCTTCTTTTAGAGCTGAAAATCTGAAAGTATATAATACATGTGATAAAATATTGATTGGGAAATCATCTGATCTTTTTTTTATTACTAGAAAAAAATTTTGGTTTTATTTGGAGGATTGTGTTAAGTTGTTTGTGGAAGAGACGATTTTGCTTGAACATCATAATGCCATTTAGAGTTTTAAAAAAAAAATGTTGTTGAAGGAGGTTGTCTCTGAGAGATGATTTCGTTTCTTGAATAAATGATAGATATCAATTTTAAATTATGTTGTTTCTTCCCGATATGATTTTATTTTGACAAGCAAGGTCGTCTCTTTGTTTCGTCTAAATAAAATTACAATATTTTTAAAATTAAATTTAAAATAATTAGTTTTTTTTACCAGGTTAAAAATAATGTCCCAAGTATCTTCACAGGCCTTTTTGTGCAATTCAAGATTGTCTAGTTCATGTTATATTATCTTTATTCCCATATTATTCTATTCTTTGTGCTTTTATTTCTCAAGCACTAATCCTTTTTATTTTTATCTTTAATTAATTATTTTTTCCTATCAAAATTGGATTCACAGAAATTTCTAATGTGCTCATTTAATTTTGTTTGTTGAGTATTTTTCAAAAAATAAATAATAATAATAAAAATAAAAATAAAAAAACAAAAAAACATTTGTTGAGTATATTTTACGTGAGTAACGTTTCTTTTTTTAACAATAATGGTAGGCATTACTTATAAAAACAAATCTCGAACTAGGAAAAGCCCTCATTTTACTTCGTTTATGTTGGAGGTGATTTCTCCGTTCACATTTGGCACATGATTACCAAGATTACGTGTGGCATGCGATGCTACGATTCAAGATGTATCACCTCGGTCATATCTTTTATGACCAAACCGACCTCCCTGGTAGCCGAGTCGATCAAGATTACTTGGAATCCCGTTCTCATCCATTGGTTGAATCGATCCCTTGACTTCGGCTTAGTCCATCTTCCGACAAACTCCACGACATCACGTCGCATTTCACAGTTACCTTAAAAAGTCGTTGAGGCCTTGTTGAGAACATATTCGGAGATTTCCTCTATAATATTCGGAGGTACACGAATCCTAAATTCTCTCTCGAGCTTAGTTCGGCCAGATACTGACTTAGACATAGGAGTGTGTTCTGTTTTGCAGGTCACCAGCCCGATCCATTCTTCAGCTCGTTGTTCGAAGCATTCTCAGTACCGAGCCGAGGTTGGTACACAGTTGATCAATTTCATGATTCAACAGTTTCTGTCGTTGTTCATTTCCTTCTTCTTGCACTTGGAGGTAAAGATAAAAATTTTGAAAGGAAAAAAGAAATAGCTGGATTTCTTTTCTTAAAGTTTAAGATAACCTCAATGTTTAAATTTTATTTGATCAAAATTTTTAATATATAATATGCAATAAATTTTCGCAATATTATCTTCAGACAGACATACATATATATATATTCGTGAACTCAAGAATCAAATGAGAAAAATATGCCCAAGTAAATATTGGATTTTAACTGTAGTTAGATTCTTAAGTTTGTAAATAGAAATAGCTTATGAAAGCTAAATTTTCACTTTAATAAAAGTGCAAATGCCTAGGAAAAAGATAAAACTGAAATAAAATTCAGAGAGGTGAAAGATTGGGTAAAATTTATTTGAGTATTAGAATGGAGACTTTTCAAAGATCTCAATGTTAGAATGATTAAAATAAATGAAACTAAATAATAAAGAATCTCTTTTGAAGAAATTTTCCAAGTAAATGAAATAGTTTAGGGTTAAACCCTTTTGAAAATTACCCTTATATCCTTGCAATTACCCATCTTTACTCTTGATGATGCTTCCTTTATCACTGCTGATTTTATGGAAATATAATGCTGTAGCTCCAACTTTTACTTTAAGCCAAAAGCATCCACCATTTTTTATATGATTGATTTTATTGCTATTAAGACTTGAGTTAAAAAAAAAAAAATAGAAGAAAATGGGTGGGTAAAAAAAAAAAGTTAAAGAATGATTAGAATCATCTCTGGAACATTTTAAATCATGTTGACCAAAAAGGTAGCTTGGAACATATATGTTTATGCAAGGATATGCACAACAGTGTATTTTCGTTTGCAGCTCGAACTCGGCCTTCGGACCGACCTGAATACTTGGGCGGACCTGCACAAAAAGGTGAGCACTCCGACGATCAAGTCAGTACAGGTCGGATTCCTAGTTTAGTTCGAGGTCAGAAATCATCATCATACCTGATCGTGGAGTGAAGTCCTCTACTTATGGGTGGTAGTCCCGCTAATCTCGCGGCGGTTACACCCGGTAATCTCGGGACCGTCGGTTACGCCCGATAATCTCGGGACCGT